TGACACACCACTGGTGAATGAAGTACTTTGCCAGTAGCTGAAAAGCCGTTATGCAACGGCTACAACTTTTTGCATTCAGACATATTCTAGTATCAAACTGATCCTACTTGGAGATATTGCTAATGTGTGGGCAGACCTTTTGTCATCAATGAAATAAGATAAGTACAAAGTGAAGGAAGTAATCAACAAGCATGGTATCATCATAGATGGCAAATGCAACTGCCCACACTTAGTAATATCTCCAAGTGGGATCAGAACAGGAAACATGTCTGGATACCGAAAAAAATGTAGCCAGTAAAGCCTAGCTGCCACCGCCTGCCCAACTGCAGCACTCATGTGCAACTCACATGCTGACTTCAATCACAGCCCCTGTATAATGGACATGCGTTCCTGGGCGGTGCTGGGAATGCCCTCATTAAATCTCACTTGAATTTAAAGAGTATAAAAGGAAAGACAAGGGAACAAAAAGACAAACAGAAATACACAAATATTTTTGTTATGAGTTTTACACTCAAACGTTTTGAAATGAAAAAGGTGTACCCTCAAGCAATTATAAGGAATTATCATGTGGCCAAACGACTGCTGTGCACAGAAAGAAACGACAAACATGAAAGAATTGTTATAAGAAGTGCACAGTTTTGGTGGTACACAGACTTGGTTTAATATAAATACTGGATTTTTCCCTTTAGACTGATGTAGAGTGTTGCAGCAGCACTCTAAATCTAAATTTCAGGAGGGAACGAGAGACTGCCAAAGACGACTCCACACAATCCAGAGTACTTGGTGGCAGGCAAAAGTAGTAGAAATCCAACAATATGTGGACCAACAGGACATGGGTTGCTGCTGTGCATCGACACAGGAGATTTTGGCCCCACCCGGGTGGTTTGAAAAATACAGTGCACATAATCAGGACTTTTTAAGATTTTACGTTTTCAAATTCTTAAAAAATTCATAATTTCAATTAATGGACATTTACACCTACACGATCGTTTGTTCACAAACCTGGCACAGTGGCTGCTGACCTCTTTTCAATAGGGGCCAGATTAGCATGCAGCAGTTCTGTGTGGCTAATCGCTGCAGTGGTGAAGTGCTTTTTCCCCGGTGATAATCCACTCGTACTAAATGCCCCAAACCGTGGTATACTGTTTCAAAACAAGGCTGGATTATCTCCACTATTGAAAGTGAAAAAATGTTGGTGATGCCCAGCAGCATGGTCTTTTGTTCCAAGTACGGTCTTTCGAAACAAAGGCCAGTTCCCTTTGTGTGATTTCGGAGACCCCGGCCATGAATATAAACACATGGTGCCTGAAACCGGAGTCAACGGCGGCAAGTGCTTAAATACTTGAATGATACCACCATCCTTACCAATCCTGAGCCTGACCTCAACCATTGGAGAAACCACTTTCAGACCCTCCTCAGTGACCACACCACCATGCTGGATGATCTCCTGTGGAATATCCCCAACTTCCTGTCTGGCACTGGATGTCACTCCCTCCAATTCTCCAGAAATTTTGAAAAGCACATTGTTTCACGAAACCTGAAAAAGTTCCCAGACCTAAAAATGTGCCTCTGGAATTCCTCTCCCATGGTGGCCTTGAACCGAAAACCTGATTAATGCTCTTAATACAGAAAACCTGGGAAACTAAAACTGTCCCTGGGGACTTAAAAAATGCCAGCATTGTGACAATCTTAAAAAGGAAATCACTTACTCTGTGTAAATTATCGGGGCATCTCCCTCCTAACCGTAGCTGGCAAGATCTCCCTGCAAATCCCCCTGAATCGAATCATGGCAGAAGAGATCCTCCCAGAATCCCGATGTGGTTTCCAGCCCTCAAGAGGCACTGTTGACATGATTTTTGTGCACAACAGCTCCAAGAGAAGAGTCATGAACAACAGAAACCACTGATGTTCATCTTCTGGGATCTCCAGAAGGCTTTCAACAGTCCCACGACCAGCAATATTAGCCACCCTCTCCCGCTTTTGCTGTCTGAACAACTTTGTGTCTCTAATATGTGTGCTCTGTGACGGAATTCAAGGCTTAGTGCACCACCAGTATGCCTTGTCGGACTCATTTCCAATCACTAGTGGTCTCAAGCAGGGCTATGTGCTGGTTCCGACACACTTCTCCTTATACCTCGTTGCATGACCAACAAGGTCCCCCCAAACACCACTGGCACTGACATCCACTCTAGATCTAATGGCAGACTCTTTGATCTTGCTCGACTCCGCTCTCATACCAAGCAACATTACTTGTGTGCGAGAATTCCATTATGTTGATGATAATGTGACCATGGGCCAGACTACAGAAATCGGTAAACCTGTACAATGAGGTTTATGCACACTTCTGGATGAGGGTTAATTTTAAAAACAAAAAGATCCTCATCCAACTAGCCCCTGGGAAAGCAACACCAGACGTGAGCATCAACACTGACAGACAGCTGGTAAAGTCGACGAATTCCCTTACCTTGGCAGCATCCTTTTGAATAACATCACCTGCGCAAAAGACCTTGGTAACAGGATCAAAGTGGCTCACGCTGTGACAGAGGTTCTCACACCAAGTCTTCAGTAATCATGGCCTCACTACAAAAACCAAAATCATGGTCTTCCAGGCTGTGGTCCTCTCCACTCTTCTGTACGCCTGCAAGACATGGACCTTGTAACGGTGGGACATCAAACGCCTGGAAAGGTTCCAACAAAAGCAGTTCAAAAGAATTTTCTGCATCAGCTGGGAGGACCATATCAACAATGAGGTCAATCAAACTGCCACATTCTCTCAAAGTTGTCTTGCTGACAAGTGTAACTAGGCTGCCATACAAGCTTACAATAAGAAAAGTGCACCCACCTGTTCAGATGGTGGCACTTTTTATTGTGTTGTGTTAATGCTGTATGCCTTTTTCTTTGTCACATTAGCTGAACATGGTTTTGGCTTGGGTCTTGACACTGTCGATACCATTTAAGGCGCCTGTATTGGCAAGGCCGTCAGCTGTACTGTAACAGGGTAATATACTCATTAACTGTTATGCAGAGACAGAACAGTTTCCCGTTCTTCAGTCCATAGAATTATTGTTGGTTCGTTTGAGGTGTATGTCGTTTCTCGGCCAATGAAATGAAGGGAATAACAGACGTCCACGGTGATGACTTACGCAGGGTCTGATTTCTTATTAAGTGCATCCATGTCTTGTGTCTTTCCTGATCAACTGGAAGCCAGTAAAATCTCCGACTTATAGAGACGCATAGTGGTACACAGCAGTTAAAAAGCATCATTTTCTCAACTGAGAGTAGCAAAACTTTCATGGAATTCTTGCAAATTTTTCAATGTTGATGATGTTGGGCCGGCATAATTATGATTTTGTCCGTTTTCAAAACTCTTCAAAAATTCATCATTTCATTTAATGGACGTTTATAGCCACACAAAGTAATCTTTAGGCACTACTCTAAGTTGACAGGTGACCTTCACTGACGCCCGAGTATTTCAGCCAGGCCTGCAGCCTTGTAAACAGAGCCCAGATTGTGCGGTGTTATGTAACTTTCTTTTGTTCACGAACCTGGCTCTGTGCACTGCTGACCTCTTTTCACTAAGGGCCAGATTAGTGTGCAGCGGTGCTGTGTGGCTCATCGCTGTGCGGTGGTGGAGCGCTTTTGTCCCCGGTGGTAATCCACTCGCTCTAAATGCCCCAAGCCCTGGTATACGGTTTCAAAACAAGGCTGGATTATCACCACTTTTGAGAGTGAAAAATGTCAATAATGCCCAGCAGCCTGGTCTTTTGTTCGGAGTACGGTCTTTTGTTACAAGGCCCTGTTTCCTTTGTCAAAGTTCAGAGACCCCGTCAGGAAGTGGTCAAGTACAGTGCTAGCTGCACATTGTTACACAAGGTGACCCCTAAGTCTCCATAATGCAACTCGGTAAACAATGCGCTGAGTCATCAGTACCAAGGTCTCTGAAAAGGGAGGTGAGAAATGTAATGCTATGAGTGTGTGCGCATCACACAAACACGCCACCTTTGAATTTACACTAAGTTTTGCAGCAGCGCACTTTGCTTTGGACATAAAATATGTGGGGTTACAACAGCACATTACACAGGGTTTTGATATGATAGATAAACTTCAATGAATGTGTACAAACTTAATGGGCAAAAGAATAGGTTGCTGACACTTCATTTAAAATGATTTGTTCTATACACACCATTAGTGTATAGACCATGCAAAAAATGCCTTACGACATTTGGTACATATTGTGCCCTTAATAACGCCACCCCAATCAACAACAGACTAGTTGATTTTAAACATATATGTATCGGTCTATGAAAACGACTAGTGAAATAGAATTTACTGAGCTGCTCAATTGTTTGTGAATACAGGGAGTGCATCTTCTCAGGTGAAAAAATTAATCAAAGCCGACATGAACTCAGTAAACAGCTGTAAATCATCCATTCAAATAGCTCTTTCATGTGTACATCTAATTCAGGAAAAGCCTCTGGATGCAATAGAGAATCCTATGACATGATAAGTTCAAGGAGTGCATGCAAAAGGCAATTTGTGAAGTCTAATTTTTTTTATGTTTTTGGCTGATGGATAAAATGTAACAAAATTTGTTAATTGTGATGTGAAAGATGTTTTGTGCTTCCTCAAGAATGCATACTGCCTTTCTGTCTACACTGTTGAGCATCCCTACAGAGCAAAAGTGTTGTGTCCTACATGTATATTATAGCAGTTGTAAGTTCTTACTTGCACTATCCTAATTCATGCCAAGTGCAAAGAATGCATGCAAAAAGACTAATATTGGGAGCAGAACTTACCCAGATTTGGAGGGAGAGGGAGAGGCAAAGGGGGTAACTCATCAATCCGTGTTGGTGTGAATCCAAGAAGCATGTTGGCTGTCATGTGATTGTTATTTACAAGGGCAGAATTTTCTGTAAATGTGTCATGATTGGTATTAATTGCATTTATATTGCTGTTGTGCAGATTTCTGCTGGTTACTTCTTTGCTCCTCAAACACTTACACTCAAACACTGCTGACAGGCTACTTGACGAACAACTTGTTATGCCATTGACAATCATGTCTGTCCTTTGTTCAAGACTGTCGGTAGAATGGGTGTCATTTCCGCTGTGATTTTCAGAGTTTGGTTCTGATGGATCAACAATTACAGAATTTCCATTCATCAATCCAGCACTGCAGCCGTTGTGAAGCACCCAATTGTTGCTAATGATGAGGGAGTGACGGTCTGATTTAATCAGCAGTGGGAGTGGTTCATCGTAACTCTGTTCACCAGTCTCCAGAGTGACAGTGCTTGCCTGGTCCAGATGAGAGGAAGTTTCTGTGTCCACTGATGTAGAAATACCGCTGCAACTGTAAAAAATGATTAAATTGGCAGAATTGTATGACATTTTTATTAGGGTAGCAAGTTTGTTTAATAGGTGACATCCAATTCATACATAATATAAAGCTTATATGAATGCTGATTTGTGATACAATTATTTGTATGGTGGTCTTGCAAAAGCATTTCAGCTTTTGTTAATTTAAATGAAGTTTTTACACCATTTGTCATATCTCAAAATGGGGCCCACTAAATTAAAAAAATATATCTGATTGTAAAGTAAATAACAGCATCAGACATTCTGTGAAATCTTTCCTCCGGGAATGCTGTAATTTTCAAGTAAAAATAAATTTTACACTTGTTTCAATGATCATCCAGAGGGAAAATCTTCAGAAAATGAAATTCTTTAAATATTACAATCATTAATGGGTCCAGAAAAAAATGTGTGCAGCGTGTGTGTAGCTGTTGGAGAAGTCCAAGTAAATGGGTAGCAATAAAAGCCACCAATGTAACATACCTTTGGTATGCCCAAACACATGATAAACCAGGGGTGAGATTGGAGAAAATGAAACACACAAAAAATGATTAACAGAGGTTTTGAGGGCCCACTCTTTCTCCAGGCATTTGGAACATCCTGTGGTCCATGGTATTTTTTGTGAGAAAAAGCTATGTTTTGAGCATTAAAAATGGACAGTGGTTGGGGTGATTTTTCTTGTAGCCTTGAACTCAAAAGACGAAACATGTCAATGAAAATATGTCCCTTAACTTGGTTATTTTGGAAAATTACAGCAAATGCAAAACAGGGTGCAAGCCAACATGAGGGTTGATATTTACAGGAATAAAGATAAAATCGTCTGTACAGTACTTGTTGCACTTCTCTTCAATGAGCATTCCATAAAGTTTGCATCCATCAATGTGAAAAATGTAAAATATTATAGCGGAAATTAGTTTACTTTCATCCACCAACTTAACTTATGCTGCTTGTATGAAGAATTTCCTAGTGCGCATATGCAAGACTGCTGTTATATCATTTTCTCTTATGTTCTCCTCATTGGGCGCCTCTGCTATGCATGCGCTGCAGTGTAGATATAAATAGTACGTTTGTGCATTTGTTAGCAAATTTTAGTTGGCCGCACTTTCTCTGGACCTTGGGCACCTAAGTATTTTGAGCCCTGTGTTAAGTGTACATTTGAAGCTCTTTGTCGCTCAATTAGGCAGCGTGAAATTTAACTTGTTGCAAGGTACACTGAATTTGATTATTATTGATCAGAATAAGGTTAACTCAGATTGGTGCCGCTGCCCGCCACCGCTGAAATTGTCATCAGGGAAGTTAACTAAATTCTAGGGGCTTTTATTAAAGCAAGTTACATATACCTTAGACCCGGGAATCTTTGACTCTGTCCATTTCCAGTAAGTTTAAGGCACTTTCTCATTATTTTGAAGACTTAATTGTGATTATTATTATTATTTTTTTAATGTATTTTAGAGGAGTGTGAAATGCCTCCGGGAGGTCCTTTATTGAGGTGCCTCATTATTTAGTGCACCTCTGGAGGTCTCCCTCCGATTGGGTAGCGCCTCAAGTACAGAGTGCCCCCAGGTGAAATTATTATATTTTAATGAAGGCTTTGCACATCAGAGCCTTGGCTTTAACTAGGCTACCTCTCCTCTTCATTTGATGATTCCCGTTATTTCTTGAATGTTCATTTAAATATTGTTAATTGTTACTGATCAGAAACTTTTATTTCCCCGGGTGTTATTTATTGGTCTGTCTTGCCCTTAGACTAGGATATACTTTCCTAGAATGAAACTCCCCGCAAGTTACATTCTGCCGCTCAAGTGTAATTTGCGTAAATAAATTTCTAAGCGTGAGTTGGTGAGAGCCAAGAATCTTCAGTGCTGACCACCAAGCAAGCCTGCCCGACTGCTACCATATTGAACAAAGTACCTTTAGACAACTTTATTCTATTTAAAAAAAATACATCTGGAAGACATAAACATAACATTCAATTAATCCTGCAAAGCAAAAAAAGTTACCACATTCCCTTTTGTGCATTTTCTCTTACTACAGCCAGAATGCCTCATATTTGGGATCACATTCACTTTTGTTGGCCTTGAGGGGATAATGCTGACAAAAAAAGTTATGTACACATCCATGATTCAAGTCAATTTGAAGCAATTGTTAAATAATTGTTACAACAAAGTCATTTCTCTGTCTTAAAATACTTGTTTGTTCCCTCCAAATATATATTTTGTTACATTGATATATTATTTCAATACTTTGTTCCTCTAGACACTATTTCATTACTGCAATTGCCATCCATATTTGCCTATCAAATTACATTATCGAGAAAGATGAGGTAGTGATACAGTGCTGCCAACCAGTACGATTGTATCATATTTCGTATATTTTTCAGTGACAATACGACTCTACAATTTTTCTCAATAAAATACAATTTACAAAAAAAAAGCTTTGTGGTCATTTTAGAATTTTACCTATTGTTTGGCTTGAAAACTGATGTTTTTCACGAGTGTACAGTATATACCGGTAACACCAGTCGTTGGCGATGTCAGAAATGGCATGCAAATTCATGCAACATACATGACGCGGTGTCCAACACAGACATATAACACATATACCACCAGTCTTGCATGTATCACCATAATTTAGTGCGGGCAAGCAGTGTGCAGAATGATAAGATGAGTGCAAATTGCACGTGAGGCACTGGAAATGCATGTATTTGTTCACATGTGCTACAAAAAGACGCTCCTTTTTTACTCTTTTGTACTGCTATCTCTTCTTTCAAATGTTGCAAATGCAACTGTTTCCAATCTGCATTGGCCAGATTAAATATTAAAACAGAGGATTTCGTTCACAATCGGGAAATGGCTTCATAGCATTTTGGGGCTGGATTTCTTCAACTGTTTGTAAATTCCCTACACTGAGAGGTAAATTTACCCACGCTTTTGGATTTAGTCGGGTGCTGTCTCAGCTATGGTACCCAGCATTTGTTTTGAATAGGAGCTGCCTGTCTGTGTTTATACGTCTGTGGTGTCCATCCACGAGGCCCTCTATTGTCCGTTGCTGCTTCGTTTGGGTAGTTCGTCTATGCACTGTACGTAAACTATGGATGAGTAGTGTGTGGAGAGTTTCTGACCAGCTTTACCCTTCTATACCTACCCGACCCACATTCCCTGTGATTTTTCCCACTCTAGGGACTTTTCCTATCTCCCCAGGGACTCTTCCCACCCATGGGACTTTCCCCCTCTTCTCGGGAAAAGAAAAACCTGGCCCCCAATTCGCCAAACGACCCAATTTCACAAAACGGCCCAGATTTCCCCAACTCATTAAAACACACTTCCCTCCAGGAAAAGAAAAAACCCATTCTCCCCAGATTGGAAGAATGAGGCTTCAAGAAAAATTAAAAAAATTTCCCAACCAAAATATGAAATCAGAACCATGTCAAATCCAACTTGTATCGTGACGACCACGAACATCTTAACGCTCATAACAAAAACTCAAATATTGTCTATGGACCATATGACCCGGACAGAATTGCAAAAATCAATTCTACAGGAAAAAAGAGCAGAGTTACTTATTATTATTTACCAACTAGTTATTATAAAAAAGAAAAATCACCATGTCCCCGTGGTTTAAGAAAGTGAAAACACCAGCCCAACTGAAAATTCTACCAAATAGATCTAACTTTTGCCAGTCGGTTTGAATACGCTAAATTAGTGGCTATACACGCCGCATGGTTAACTGTAAACGGTTGTGAAATGAAACGTGATTTAATCGAGCAAGTGAAACTCCACGTACAGAGTCAAAGGCATCACATTTGCTTAGTGAGAAAAACCAAAGATGGAAATAAAGTTTATAAACCGCAGCAAATATTTATTTCCAGTGATTTGCTTACCAAGTAAAATTGAAAAAAATTCACGACATTCCAACAGCAATTTCCTGTCCCATTTTGATGTTCTCCAATTACACGTTCTCAATTCACCACTATTTTAAGGCGGGCCCTTGGCTTCATTGGCATTCATGATACCCGATATACTTCTCATTCCTTCCGGATTGGTGCGGCCACAGCAGCCGCAATGGTGGGAATTCCTGACAATGAGATCCAACTGATGGGTCGTTGGCAGTTAGGCGTTTACCGCCGCTATATTTGTATTAGCAGTGACCTTCTCCCATGAGTTTTCAAATTTGTGGCTACTTTGTACATTGGGGTCATGTTACCCCACACCAAAAACAACCGTGATTCCAACCATACGCTAACTTTTCATTAAGTATTGATAGCTACTTAATTTCTGTTTTACTTCCATGAGCAAATCTGCCAATCGACAACAAGCCCCTTGTCTGGGTGGTTGGCAAATCTCGTTCATCCATTGGACCTCCCGTGTGGCGTTATCCTGTCCTTGGGGGAGGCACTTGATGGGCTGGCAACTGTTCGCTGGATGGGTAGGCGGGCCTACAGCTGGACCAATTCAACGACTTCCTTCACAGCTGCTGGCTGGCGGAGCAAGCATCGCCAACTTGGATCATCAAACACGTTGGCTCCAACAATCTGGGCTACGTCCCAAAGAAATCAA